GAGATAAGTTTGAATTTTTATTGGAGGGAAAATTTAAAAGTTGTTTTTAGAGATAGGAAAAAGTGAGTAAAAAGGAAGTTTATAAAAAGCTTGAATTTGAAGCTATTGATCTTTTACTGTTTAGGGTATTTTTAAGGTTAAGAAAATGTTTAAAAATGTAAGTTTTTAGGAGGGAAATTTAAACTTATTAAACATGAATAGTGTCAAAAAATTGAAGCACATGGGAAGCTGTACCAAACGGACCCTAAGTTTCTACTGTTTTCCTCAACTTGGTGCTTTGATTTCCATAGGTAAGTGTGAGTTTTAGTTATAAATTCTAAGTTAAAGTTTTGGGTAAATTATAGATTTACTATAATATACGAAAAATTAGTTTAACTTAGTAAAATTTGACTCTAGATCTTTTACTTAAGGGACTTTTGGGGTACTAAAATTTTGTTTAAAAATATTTTGATTTTGGGTGTATGCACTAGTCTTGGCACATATTTAGAAATGTGTTTTAATTTCATAATTGGTTTTAGTATGAAGATTTATTGTCTATAATCTCAATTGTTGTTGTGGACTCCATGTGCTTGCTTTGTGTGATGATTTTCTTATGAATTAATATGGCAAAATAATTCCATATGTTGATTTGAAATTTGGAGCACTATCCGTGGCTTTGGATAGGAAATAATGCTCCTTAATTATTCTGATCATGCATTAATTACAAATGTTTGGGGAAGAAATTAAGTTCAACTCTTGTAAGTGAAATCTATAGTTAGGCATAGGATATTTAAAGTGGATTGCTTCAGAAATGCAACTGATTATGTGAAATAATAAATGAAATTATATTTCTATATTATATTGGATGAGTTTTGAATTTGTTTGATATGTGTATGTGTCTGTGGTTATGGACTAAATGGACTTAAGCTTAAAGCTTGGGGTATTTAGTGGACCTTCAGGATATTTAGTGGACCTCTACAAAGTAGGGTGAGTGCCACGATTAGCTTTGATACAAGTGTTGATAGCACACATCAATGGACTCCATAGCATTGTGTGATTTTATGTTATGCATTTTGCTTATCACATTTCATTTGTGAGCATATAATTTTATGACTTGAGTTTAACTTAAATGTCACTGGCTATTTTTGGATATGTTCGGTTGTTTAAGAATTGTTCTATACTACTGAATTATTATTTAATTACTAAGATTTATAATATTATGTGGTTTGACTTAATTGTCTATCATGCTTTTGTGTGTATAAGTCTAGGGGTCTTAGGATCCAAATTTATAGCTTTAACTTAATATTTATTGGCCTTTTAGCTCATAATATCCCCCCTCCATTTCAGATCTGTAGATTGGAGTAGCAATCACCAGCTTGAGAGCTTTTGGTATAGGTCTCGTATGCCTGTTGTATGTAGAAGCTAGGACCTTAGTTCTTTTGATGTGAAGGTAGATTAATGTGTTACCAAAACGATAATTTTAACTTTGTTATTTTGAAAGGTTTTTGAAAAGCATTTGCTCTCATGTATTTTTTTGAGTAAATTACTTTTATGTATCTAATATGTCATAACCCAATTTTTGTCAGGGGCTAAAACTGATAAAGTTGGAAGTCAATGGACTATTTTTATAAAGGCTGGAAAGTTGAAGGGTTGAGAGGAGCAAATGGCAAAACAATGTCGTTTTGCCAATGGGCAAAAAAAAAAAAAAATAAAGGGTTAGGGTTTCAGTCGAACCCTAGCCCCTATTTGTTCTTGTTGTACCTCCCTTCTCAAATTTCCTTTTTCATCAACTTTAGTTTGGGTGAATCACGACGCCAAGGGAGATTTCTTCAAAAGCCATGCTTAGCGAATTGAAGGATTTAGATAAGACCTACAAACCATAAGTCCTCAACTACAAGGAGTCCAAAATTGATTCAAGGTGGGAGTTTTAATGCCTAAAAGGTATGAATCTAAACTTGAAAATGGGTAGATCAATGAAGAACTAAGAACTCACATTCCAAATAGGATTAGGTTGTTATCTTAGGGATTTGCATTAGTACTTAGAATTAGAAAAGGATTTGAGTTTCTCTATTTCTATATAAAAGGGGGCCTTTGACTTTAAAGGGGGGCATTCAAGAAATTGAGGGTGAGAGGAAAAAATGGGAGAGATCGAGATGGAGAAAGAGAGAAGAAATCCGAGAGGCTGCGAGATTGAGAGGGAAGAAGTGAGCAAAAAATTCTAAAAAAAAAAAAATAGAGAGGAAAAGGCAAAAAAAAAGAAAAAGAAAAAAGGAAAGTCGTGAGGAATCAGAGTAGGCATTGAGAGTTGGCACAAAGGGTGTGAGGCAGAGGAGAAACCAAGGAAATCTTGTATTTTTGAAGTCTTCTGCAAATAAATAAGATTGAATTTCTCAATTTCCTCAAGTGTGTTTTTATTTGAGAACATTGAAGAATTTGGAGTGTGAATCTCGATTCTTTATCTGTTTCTTTATTCTCTGTTGTTTCTTGGTGACTCTATTAATATTTTCTTTTATGATATGTCTGCAAGCAATCTAAAGAAAGATA